AGCATCAATGGTAAGTTAAGGTAACTGTCACCACCAATAAAAACAAGCGCAGTGCAAAGTTGTTCAAAAGGTACTAATTTGCCACAAAATTCAACCATCTGAATAACTTTTGCTAGAAGAGGCTCAATCTATTTAGTGTGCCAAGAATCAAATCAAACACTGTCACACAGTCATAACCCACTTAACAAGCACTTAGAGGATTTCACTGCTAAGCTTTCTGAACACAATGCAGCTTCTTCCTCCACTATAATTGCACATGGGTTCTAACTCAGACAAAGACTGAATAACACCGTTGCACAGTTTTCTCTTTCCAACTCTCTCTACCCGCACCCTCCCTTCCACTCTTCTCTCAGCCTGCTCTGCTTCTCTTACTCAACCTTTCTGGAAGTGCCTAAAGCCCAGGGAGCGACACAAGGCAGCGAGATATTAATAAAAATATGACTGAGTCCAATGGGATATGACAGTAGCGGCGGGGGTTGTTAGAGGGAGGCCTGTGGTTTGGGGGGTTCGGCAGAGGTTTTAAGTCAAACGGCTCCTTTAATGTGGTGTGACTTTGCCCACTTGAGAGGCTGGTGTGAAGTTACAAGATTGGACCCAACTGGGATGGGGCGATGATGGGTCCAACTGCCGGGACAGCCGTGATGAGGGGAGGCACGCTGGTACCAGAATCCACAGCAGTGGTAGCCCCTTCCCTGAAGTATAAATCCAACCCACACACTGATGGATCACACCCTTCCTCCACTATATTATAGATCAATGGCTCCTAAAGTGGGGTCATGAAAGTGCCTCAGTTCCTTAAGGGGAATGTAAAGGAATCCCCACCACACTGTTTCACAGACAGTTTATTCAATGTCTTGAAGTAAGTTGTTTGAGAACAGTAACTCATTGCGTTCATATCGTCCATTTGATAAGACACACCAGAACAGATTAAAAGACAAAGAAAATCCCCAAAATGATTTCTCATACCAATAAGTAAAACAATATTGGGAAGATGAAAATTTAAAATAAAAAGACATCATAGAGGCAAATATGGATCCAAAAAATGAAACAGGTTGGAAAAGTTTTTGATATTACGACTGTTGTAAAAAGTAGTTTGTATTCTGTGTCATACAGAAAAGTAGAGTAAAATTATTCTGAAATTGGAACAAAATCCTTCAAAATAAACAATAAAGAGCTAAAGTGCATGGTAAAATAAGAGCTAAGAGACAGGTAAAGCAACAGTAAAACAACAGGTAAATACCTGCCCTACCCTTAAAAACGTGTGAGAGTTCAGTGACTTCTGTTTGCTCCACATGTGAACAACACTTGTCAAACCAGGGCCTGTCTCCCTGAGTATTGCATCAGAATTCAATATTGCAGTGTTGTTGCACATTGCCAAAAATATTTGTGCACAGTTCCCAGACTGTACTTGCCCAAAGTGACACTGTGACTCTGCCCAAAATCTAACTAGCTTTTGATTTACTTTCTACCACATCAGCAAGTCAGAGACGAGTGAAACAACACTGCTGTTGCAAAGGTAAAACAGTTAATAATTTCTTACTAAATCATTGTATAGCATCCACTGACTGTAGATTAAGACAGATGAACCGGTTTCTTGAAGAACAATGTTGAAGATCAGTGGGGTGGCTCCAGCTGTTGTCGCCCGAGCAGAGCCTGACTCTGCCAAATACACAGCTAATCCAAAAATGGGCAAAGAGCATACATTTAAGCATAAATATAATTTACATGGATGGGTTTTTAAAAAAATATACCTCTAGTACAGTCTTCATGAACAGTGAAATTAGCTATAGAGACATATACCCGTCCTACCATATTAAACAGCATGCTAGAAAAAGATTTAGTATGTCCAAATAAACAGCATGTCAAATTCAGTCTGCCAGAAATACCAGGCTGTCCTACTACATCCGCCTACCTTTTTGCAGTATGCAAGCTGGCATGCTTTTCTGGTCATTCTGACCCACAATAAGTCCCATAGGTCACAGTGTTTCATACAACTGTAAAGAGGCTTGAGCCACTGAGAGAGCACAGGTAGATGACAACTCATTTTGCACTACAGACTCCAGTGGATATGTGAGCAACACAAAACTTGTTGTGCACAATATTAGTATGTCCCAACTGTAAGTGTATTACATGCAAGAGTATATACTTTGTGAGGACAGCTCGTATATATACTGAAAGTGAAAAAAAGAAGAAAAAAAAAACAAAAGTATGTGATTTGGAATGCAGGACGTTTTTTGTACCAGGCTGTAAACATGTTTACTTCCACCATAAAGTTTGGCATTTAACATAAGGGTCTATGGGGATCAACTTGCTTTTGAAGTCAGCTTCAAGTCGCCATTCCAGGAACTGCAGTTGTTGTCACTTCTACCTTGGCCTCAGTTTTCGACCTCGGAGGTTACTGCTTGGTAGCATCCACTGAACACAAAAAAGCTCTTTATAACAAGACTTATTATATTTAGTTTTTAAGTACTGCTTCAAAAATCCAGAAACTAATAAAACTGCACTTAACACAACTGATCTTTTGTCCCAACAGGAAAATTATCACTACTTTTACAAATAACATTTTAACACTAATGTGATTACTTTACATTTTTCTAAAAAGTTTCTGCAATGTTGCGTCCATTCACCAAACTGCACACAACGAGACGAGAAATATAGAAGCTTGACCTCACCAAAACCCCGTCTGAAATATGAAGCCTTCTATAAGCCATAGCCTTATACAATAAAGCCCCTGCTGAATCCAACCTCAACCACAAACCCCAACCCTCCAATACCAACCCGCACTGTCATTCTTTTGTATCCTCCACACACACGCCACAGCCTTTACACATGTGTACAATAAACACACAAACACGTGCAAACACACACAGAGTACTCAGCCATCTACCTATCCATCCATCAGACGAAAGCGGCTTCTGTGGGAAAGTCTGGGAAAACAAAAATGGCTGAAATGCTGCTAAACACTGCTTGCCAACAGCAGCAACGTGTGCCAACCCAGTGTACAGAGTGTGTGTTTGTGAGTGTGAGTGTACTGCATGTGTAAAGCAAATAGCAAGTGTGTGTGATTACAGATGCAGGGAGAACGCACGTGGCTGGCCTCTCTGTTACTCTAGCTAGGGATGGGAGGTGGAAGGTGAAAAGAAAAAGAGAAAGCAGAAAAAGAGGGGAAGAGGCACCAAGCCCTGTGGTTTTGGGGGGTTAAACAGCAGAACATGCTCGCACATTAAAAGCCATCTGATCCGCAGCTAACTAAAGAGTTGCAACTCTTTTTGCAAAAAGCACCGAAGGGAGCTAGAAAAAAAAAAATAAAACAAGCCTTAGTTTTCTTCTCTTCTCCCCTTTCCTCTAACCACTCCTCAGTTCCTTTCATCCAAATGCAATAGCAGCAAGAGGAGTAATGGCTGAAGTGAAATTACTTCATTCTTCAATTATTTTATCTCCATTTCATCCTCCACTATTCATCCTCCTCTTTTGCTGCCAACTCTGTCTCTAATGTTTCTCTGTTATGTTTCTGTCATTCACTTTTCTTTCTCCCCTCATGAACAGACCATGGCACAGCCCCAGGCCACATTAACTGACTGAATAACAAGGGGTGTGGGGCACTCTGAAGTTTTCTGTTCGCTCTCTGCCGTTTTTCTTCTCTCCATCAGCATCACTTCATATAATGCACATCTTTCCAGTAAACACTCACTTAAAACAAATGGACAAGTCAACTGTGTTTGTAGAAGTGGTTTGTATGTGTTCGTTACAGATTGAAATTCCTCAATATTTCAGAGAAATCTGCCAATATGTTCATGTCGTTGTATTTGTACAAATTTGCAGCAGAATGTTCTGTTTTGATATACTGAGCATTTTATCTGCTGCTTACACAAATACCCGTGTTCCCAAATGTCCAGTACTCAAAGTTGACAATTCACAGATCAGCATGCTCAGAAACCGCACTGTTAATAAAGTCTGATGCGCTGTACATACTTTGTCACAGAGCCACATGGAAAATCTACAGAATCTTACATCTACAAGATGCATAGCAGTAATCTATCTACAACCACATGAATTTCAGCAGCAGCATAAATTATGGTGCAGTGAAAGAATGGAGTGCTTTAAAAATCCATTATGTAGCTGGACGTATATGGCACGCTTCATACTCAGATATTTGACACGGTGTGCATGTATGCAGGAGTATGTGGCTCCGTGTGCGTATTTCCCTTGAATGAACCTCGAACATGGGAGGTGATTGCTTATGGAGTTAATACTACTACAGGTGTATTTCACGTTTTACAGTCATGAGTATGAGTAAGACTTATTAGTTATTGGGATACACAGCACTGCTGACATTAGAGGGATCGTCATCGTGGGTGGGCTAACACACACATGCAGAGCTGGATTAGGAAGTGGTACGCCACATCATTTTACAACTGAGACGTCTCTATATACCCTTTGCTTGTTTTGTGGGAGTCGGGAAGGTCCTCACACCCAGTCCTTCCATCCCCCCTCTCCTTCCTCCCGTCATTCCCTTACTGTCATTTGCTATTAGCATTACACCCGTCACACCGGTTTCTTTTCCGCCGAAACCTCAAGTTTTTCTATTAAAACTGGCCTCCATAGGCTGTTCATCTGTAATCCAATCTAAAGGGTCAAATGAATGCATGTGGAGCTACATTTCATTTCCTTCTGCTTCAAGTCTTAATTCTTTTTTTTTACTCATAAAAATCCTGCTATTGTAAGATGGAAAGAGGAACAAGCTGTAGATTACTGGATGGACCGACAGCGGGGTTGCCAGTTAAAGTACGAAAAAATGGAGTGAGATGATGTTTTTGAGTGTGAAATTCTGAGACGCAAATAAGGATCTTTTTTTCACCAGCACAGCTCTTTGGCAGTTTTTCCTGCTTGCAACAAAAAAAGACATGACAAACACCTGATTTCTTTTTTACAATGATCTAATATCATGACTGCCATCCTTTTCTCTAGTTCTGGAAATAGATGTGAGGTTTGATACGCACCTGACAATGAAAGATGTACTCTGGTGTCGCCTTCTTAAACTTGATGTTCCACACAAGGGCAACACCGTCTGGTTCATGGGGAGCGTCTTCATTGTTGTTATAGGAGGCAACCAGCAACTCAGGATACTAAAAGCGAGAGACAAAGGAAATGAGTATGAAGACGAGGAGGAGGCGAAACTGAAAGACAAGGGTGTTAATGGAAAGATGTTAAATTGATTAGAAGCTGATCCCTCTCTGTAAACACAAACAGGCAAATATTTGTTGGCAAATTAATACAATGTGGGAGGTGTTACAGTTTCTGATTGAAAGTGGGACACACAAAGGTTCAGGCCTTACCTGTGGGGACCAGTCAAGACAAGTGATAACCCGATGTTTCGACCAGTGCTCGTCATAGAAGAGCCTACTGAAGGACAGACTGGAGCCGCTACCCAAGTCTCTGGAAGCAGACAGTGGAGATAAAGGTCAGTGATAACTATTTGATCAAATCTGAAGTCAACTGAGCCATGTTCCAATAGCACAATAGGTACTTGCCAGGGTAAACAGGTACCTGCCAAGAAAAAAAACTGACTTCAGTTTGCTGAGGTAATTTGTGATCCCTGGCATCGTACCTTCAAGACTTTTCCAAAATGTACATGCCCTAGAAAACATGGTGGATAGAAAGGAACCATTTTCCTAACTGCACTACAACTAGGGCCTCTAGAAGAGCTAGAAGTGTAATTACATCTTATATCGTGACATTCTCTATATAAATTCACTAAAAATACATAACTGTAGTGAGATTAATTTAAAGCAGTCTGAGTCAAAGCACACTTACAAAGTTTTAAAAGGGAACAAAGGCAGTGAGAAAACTGTTTGGCTCTGTATCCTAGTGACTCAGTAATTTCAGCCACCCAAGAGAACATGCTCTCTCCTAGTGGTCAAACTAGATCCTACCAAGATTGTTGTGTCACTGGCCACTTCAGAAAGTTGTACCACCACAGTTTTGTGTTTGTCTCAGCTCTCCATATCAATTCTGTGAGTGCAAAGTTACTAGTTTCAGTTCAGTTGTACGTAATCTACATACGTATGCAGGCAACCACATTGTCTACAACATTTTCTGACACTATATAATGAAATATGGTATTGAAATGTAGGTTACACTGTTAGACTTTTACGTCTTTGGAAAGAAAAAAAAAAAAGACGACTGATGTTGAGCACTGGGCCATGGCCTGTTTTAGACATAATCTCTATTTGACCACAGGCTTCATGCTTCTCTGTGGCTGCAGTGGTCAAAGTTGAAGTGAGTCAGTAAAAGCAGCATTCTTCCATAATAGCAGAGCAGTATACTAAAACAGCTTTGCACTTATGACTCTTACAACTTCAACCAACACTTTGATAACCTCCATTTGGAGGCAACCCTTTAGATGGCAAAGACAATGCTCTTTAGGTTGTGATAGAGTTCAGTTCACAGGAGTTTTTAACCCTCTGAGAGTGTGACATCACGACAAAGACATGTATTTGGAAGAACAAAGCAGCTCCACGGCCCCTAGAGTGACACAGTGGGCATGAGTCAGTCTTTGCACATTTCTTGTTTCAAGGCATGAAAGTAAAAGCATGCACATGTGCGCTCACATTTAAACAGACTCTTTCCTCCCTCTAACCCTAATGCCTCCTCCCTACTCACCCCTCTTTATCCTCAAGGTCTCGGCCGCTGTAGTCAAAGAAGATGTCCCCGTCTTCGGCCAGAGCTCTTTCCATCACCCGGATGCTGCAGTCAAAGAAACTTTGAAACTCAGAAGAGTGTAGGATCTGTTGCCTCTCCTCCTCTGTCAGCTCCCGAAGCACCGGAAAAGAGCCTGTTGGAAGTAACATTAATATAAAGACACAAACAAGAGAAAAACTCAAGTTCATAAATTGTGCACACTTTCCTGAAGTCCAAAAGTGATGTCTTTAAAATAGTTGAAACCACAAAGATGTTAAATGTAACGATAGACAAGACAAAGAAAGAAAAAAATACCAGCTAAAATTTGGATTATTTCAACTAGACTTGTTTTGTTTTAGTGATTCATTTCAGCAAATGTCTTCACTTGTTTTGTCAGATTGTTAAATTAATATATTACCATTTTGGCTTTATTTGAAAGTTACCAGGAAGACTGAAGTGAAACATGCTGAGAGAGAAGAGGATGAAGTTTAACAAATGTCCCCAGGAGTTAAACTGTGGACGATGCAGTCATGTGGTATGCACCTTAACCATTACACAACAAGGATGCTGCCCATAATGCCATGTTTAAATTTGAGCTATTTTGTCTTTATTTAAATAGCAGAATAGATGCAGACAGGAAAGTGGGGGGAAAAGACCAGGGGAATAAAAAGGCTCGGATAGACAGGAGTCAAACTGGGAACTCTGTGGCTGAGAACATTTTAGCCCACGTGGTATGCGCCCAAACCACTCTGCCATTTGAACGTCCCAGCCATAGCATTTGACATTTACAGTAGTATACCAGTAGTAGTATATAAACAGCATTTGATTTAACTTATTAGCTTTTTAAAAACAGCTTTCAAAACCACACTTACTGCATAAAAGGCTAAAAGCAGGCAATAACTTTTCACTGTAATGCAGTTGACAGTTAACTAGTGACAGACAGACAGTACAGATGTCCTGCTGAAACTTACCAACCCATACACAGTGTATTATCATGTCTACTACCATTAAAAGCATTCTAAGCCCACCATGTGCATCTGACGTCAGATTAACATTCTCTTCATCTCTATCAAAACCAGAATCACATTCGGGACATAATAAACTACAAACAGTTCCTAATGCATCTTTTCTAGTAAAATGCTACAGCAAGAACTTCATAAACAGGAGAAAAACAAAGCCCTCTGAGCGACCCGCCTCCCTTTGAACGTAATGGCTGCACAGCACGGCGTCCAGTTTTTGAAGTCACTGTCCCCAAGCGCACATGCGATTTTAACACACACAAGCATGCACAGACACACATATATCGACCTTTACCCTGCCTCTTGACTTTGATCCCCACCATCCCTTTGTATTTCTTACGAGTTGTCAGAAAAGACCCAGTGAATCGAGTGGCAGAGATCAAAGGCCAGACCTTGTAATAGGCCAGGATGGAGAGGAGACGGATGACTGTGTGTTTATGAGTGCGTGTGTGCACATATCGGTCTTTGTGTGTGTTTGACTCACACTTGCTCCAGTCATGGATATTCAATTTGTGTGGCTGAATATGAATATGTCCATCCATCTGTGTGCCCTTCATGTCTTTTGTTTTAACCCACCTACGAGCATTGTGTCTTTTGTCTATTATTTACTACATGAACCTTACACATGCACGCACGCACACACACTTGTCCATTCGTTTTCGCTTTGAAATACGGCCAGGGGGTCAAGTGACAGGTTTTTAATCAGTGTTGACCCCCACATGCCATGGAGCCGATATGCTGGACCCGCCTTAACCCCCACTGTAACCTACCCCCACCCTCCCATCTGATACACCCACTGACTGGCAGAGGGTGTCACACACGGGTGACTGTGTTTCGTGACAGGCTGAAAAGCAACAAGTGATAAGGAAGAAGGAGCCCCAGCTATAAAGAATGGCAAGTTTTGTGTTTGCACTAATTGGGGATATAACGACTTCATATGTATTAAATTATTTAATAATGGGAAAAAAATTACTAAATTTAAGAAAACGTAAGTTACATAGGTGGTTAAAGATAACTAAAATTTTAAAAATCTGATCATTTTTACTCTTCTGTCATCCACACATTCTTTGTACCATCTTTGGTTTCCCTGTTGTCGTCTTCATCCTGCTGCTCCGACTCTGGGCCTGGCTTCGCCTCCATCATCTCTTCATCTTCCTCTTCTTCCTCTACTGTGAGAGAGTTCAGAAAAAAAAAACACAAGGGAGAGAGCACTCATGTTAATCAACAGCTGTTCCAATTTTCCTCGACCTCCCGCTGCGTGCCGCCTCCCCCTCCTTCCTACCAAAATAATCATTCCCAGACATGCACTGGTACACCTGACTAACTGACATTCAGTCCAAATGGGTTTCATTTACAAACACACGCACTCGTATTCGTGTGTTTTTTAGAAAACACAAAAAGTCGAAGCCTAAATACTGCAGAATTTCCATTACGGTTGCATTTGTGTATTAAGTACATGCTGTTTTGGGAAAAGAGATATAACAGGAAACATGCTAATGCTCATTTCCTTGGTCGTATGTGGCACGTTATCCATATGCATGGACATATTGGTGACTGTGCACCCAAATCACACACACACACAGGAAATGAAAGAGTTGTGTGTGCTCTCCTCTCTTTCTCTCACCTTTGACCCTCAGCAAAGAGATCCTGTGATGTGTGTGTGTGTGTGTGTGTGTGTGTGTGTGTGTGTGTGTGTGTGTGTGTGTGTGTGTGTGTGTAAAAGGGGATTCCCTCTCCAATCAGGCTCTGCAATTACGCTTGACTCTCCAGGATTTAGTGTGAGCGTGCGCGGTGTGTGAGTTTGGGGTTCAAGTCTGAAGGGTTACTGTCAACATAGGCACCTGCTTGTCAGCTACTGCCCCCACCACCCCTCAGGGTATGTGTTGGTAACCCTCACCAACCTCTCCTCCTCTTTTCTGCTGCTCCCTCCCTCTGAAACAGATGCTGAGAGTCGGGGGCCTCTCTGAAGACCTCTTAACACCCCGACACTGTGACCAGACACCTGTGGTCTGCTAACACACACGCTACGCACACATACAATCTGCCTCTCTATCCCTTTCGAACACACACGCCCGGGGTCTTCGCCCGCAGTGCCAGGGGTGGTGAGGGGTTAACTGGCAGGGTCAAGCTGACAACAGTTGCTCAGTCCAGTGGGAGGAAGTGACTACATCACACCCTCAGACATGTCATGTGTCTCTCTCGCACACAGAAACACACACGTCAGGGTGTGTTTAACTCAGCTGGAGTATGGCCTGGGGCACTGTTAAAACCACTCGCTCAAGGGCTGCTCTTGCACCGGATGAACTGTCCCATTTATCACTTGGACCCGTCTAAGCTTTTGATGAACTCACTGCTGTTCTTTAAAAGCTACAAATGCAGTTCCAATTAGCGCAACACTCCAGTGATTTTGTTATTATTTTCATGACAACAGTGTGTGGCCTTATTTTATTCATTATATCAATCTTCCCTGTTCAACCTTCCCTACGCGTCTTTGTGTTTTCTTTCCTGTTTCACTTCCAAGTAAACGCTTTTGATATACGACTTCAATTTTCATACTGTGTGTATATAATAAATGACTAAGCTAAATCAAATACACGGTGGTGAGGCTCCGTCCAAGTCGGCGGTTAACAGCCAGTTGTACTGATCCAAACACCAGTGACCCACCAGTATGGAGGAGAGACCAGAGAGGACCAGACAGGCAGACTGCCAGACTAGCTCTATGTCTGAGCTGCCAAAACAGACACGCTGCAAACAGAAACGCACAGGGATACCCTATTTTCAGTTCCTTTTGTCTTTTCCACCAGGCCTCAGCTTGTGAAGGTTTATTTCTCTCGAATGTTGTTTTTTTTTTGGCCATTCATCAGTCATTTTTCTCCTCCACAAACTGTGCTCATTAATCAGAAAAGCATCAGGATGTAAAAAAAAAAAAAAAGAAAAAAAAAAGAAAACAGGAAGATACATTACATACATCTTCTGTTCTACTCTATTTTCTTGACCTTACGTGACCGGTCCGGTGGTTGGAATGTGTGGTGATGGGGATGGGAGGAGCGTGAGGAGAGAAGACAGACCACATTGAGGAGCGGTCAAACTGTCAACCCCCGGGACCACAGGACTCTGGAGCAAGGCAGCGTGATTCATGGCCTATGGGTTACCTCACTGAGGGGAGACGGTCCAATTCCCGTATGAAGATACTGCTGATGTCTTTGCCAGTGGCCATGCATCAAGTTGTTCTGTCACGATCCTGCACCAAAAATATCCTCACTATTTGCTTTGAAAGGGAATTTTCAGAGATATGTTTCTGTGTGTGCTCACAGTAAAGCAAAAAAAAAAAAAAACTATACTGTGGTAAATGATACTGGAAAGTAGAAACGATAATATAAATCTTTATGTAAAATGATCATGCAAACACACAGAGAGGCACTACATGGATTCCTGTTGCATTGCAAAAGAAGTAGGAAAGGGAAATCGAAAGAGACAATCTTTCACTGTGTGAGCGTGTCTGCCTGCTACCCTGCACACTTTCCTGCTTCCACCTCATTCCAGTCACGGGATGCTTTCTCTTTCCACCTGCCGCTTAATACCTCTCCTCGCTGCAGGACGACCGGTTAACTGGTATCCTCCCCCTCACCGCAGACGGGGGTCCACCTTGATGAAACTCCGCTTGGGGGCTCCCGTTTTGGCCGGCTACACACCCGGGGTAATGATATCCTCGGTAGCCCGGGGCCGCCGCATCTGGCTGCCTCAATCTTCCCCTGGCTGCTTACTCATGCTGACCGGGCACAGTCAATTCAGAGCAGCCCAGCAGGTATGTAGACACTCAGATTCATAGTGTGGAGATACAAAGTACACACTCACAGAAATGTGTAAAAGCTCTTGTAAATGCAGATACACACATCCACAAACAGAGGCATGTACCGTGCGCACATCTACGAATGTGTGAAGCTGTTATTGTGGGGAAACACAGAAATGTTCTGAAACTTAATGTACATTATTGAGCAGACTGGGTGTCAGCATTTATCTTTGTCAATACAACTTTGAGATTCACCGTCACATTCAAGTGCCACAGGTCTCCTTTTACTTAATATAAAAAATATTCCATCAATTTGTCTGAAACAATATCGGACAGATTTTAAATTTGGGGAAAAAAATGCATTATTTATTTCACGCTCGTATTGAGTTGGTGGATCAGAACTACTAATAGGAGAGAAAATGTTGAACAGGGACCCCAAGTATATTTTATCAATCTGTGATGGAAGTCATGATCTGACTATATCATGTACTTGTAAAACTAAAAAACTTTGTAAATAATGAGCACTTCTGTGGGCCTCCAACTGAGCACTATTGATTAGTTTGATGCTGTCAGGGAAAAAAAAGTGAATAACAATTTCTCAAAAAAAAAGAGAGAAATATTTAAAGTGCTGGTTCTGTCTATTGAGTAAACACAGTTAGCTTACTTTCAAAGAAGCCTGAGAATGACAACAAATATTCACATAACAGATGCTGCAAATTTTGTGTACATTTATGACTGAAGAATCAATTTAAAAATGGCTGTAGATGTATAAGGTTCACAGTGACCTGTGGGAGTCATAAAATGAATTCTGTTGAAATTAAACTAATATTTCACGGTTTCTGTATCAGTATCAGAAAAATCTACTTCATATCCTTTGTATAAATACTATTATGATAAACAGTTATATAGTTTGACTTTTTAAAATCTTTTTCTTGTATCCATACAGCAACTTATCTACAAGGAGTCTTTTATGTGTTTATACACTGACAAAATTTGGACTTGTTTTAATCTTTCCTGTACCTATAGGTCCTCTAATGATACAAACAAGAAGCAGTTAGGTTGTAAATATAACACAACCAGCTGCCGTACTGAGGCTCATAAAGCCTTTACTACCAAGTTTTCAGTGCGTAGGGCTCTTGTTATTCCGTATAGGCATCACTCTTGCTTTTATGGACTAACAGAAGAGTGAAATAGTTCAGGTGAGAGTAATGTGCTGATCTGTTTGTGGAATAAAGAATGAGGGCTGATCCACCGCTGAGAGTTTCATTAGCTTAAACAACTTGTATTATTTCACAGTAGGCAGCTACTATTGAGCATGTGGAGAGAAAGATACTGACAGCATATAAAAGATGTAAACTGTCTTCTGCTCCCCTTCAGCGAGTACATAAAGCACAATGGCATGGTGTGTCACAGCAGTAATGTGTTAGCATGTGTTCTGTTTGGCAAGGATCAAAGCGTTCGCTAACCTTTTATTCTGAATCCAATCCACAGTAAGCGCTAGTGTGTTGAAATGTGTTAGTGCATGCTTGGAGCGATTGGCATAGTTATCAAAGAGCTGTGGGTGTTTGTGTAGAGGGGAGGATGAGACTCGGCCCCAAGTTTGTCATCAACTACATTATAGGAGCAGAGCTGCAGACTTCTTCTTCAGACGCCACGGCAGTATGGAGGTGACTACTGAACTGAGTCACACACAATCAAAGTTGACAGAACTCATAATTTTTACAGATCTCCATTGTACTAATCACAAAGAGTAAGAGATACTGATACGAGAGAGAAGAGGCGGCGGAAGTAGGGAGAGGGGCACAAAAGAGAAATCCAGCAGGATTTCGGGGGATCCCACGCATTGGGAATAACCCTACAACATTATTTATATACACAATCATATGGGCGCACACACACACACACACACGGAGTTCGCAGGGGTTCTGGGGGCTGGCTGCTGAGCAGACCACAACACAAGCACTATGCAGAGGAGTAGGAGGAGGTCAACGAGACTTGAAAGGCTCCTCTAATGTGGCCCTGGCACGACACACACACACACTCATGTGCACTAACTTCACTGAGAACAACCCCAACCCTCTTATTGTCAGAGAAAGACACAACACATACATCTACTGTACAACCACATCACCTCTGCATATATTACAACTGACCTGAGGCATCAGGGGAATTCTCTCACTTTTATGCGTCCCACCTCCCGTAACGTGATCCTGTTATTCAACCCCACTCCCCTGATACAGGTTTTTAAATCAGATGATGCAAACCTAAAATAAATCTGATGTAAACCGATAGACCTACAGGAAATTTGTTTTGGCACATTAGATGTTATTTTTGGCTCCAACAGTAAGCATTAAGAAAAAGATTTCTATTTCTACAATA